AGGTATGTGGGAAATGTTAAAATTAATAAACATGCATATGTTCTCCATATTAATTGTTAGCTTCACCTAGCAGGAATTTTTACTACTTACATCATAATATAGACCAAGTGCCATGCCGAAAAAAAGAACATTGGCAAATTAGCTTCTGGAATCGTTGTCTAACAAAATTTTATGTCCTCTTCAAAGAATTCTGCAAATTCGCGTAATATTTATAGCTTATTAAATTTGATATCAAAGATTCCGAAATTCTGATTTATAGAAGGTTTAGAAGATGATGAATTCAATAAAGTAATTCTCATTTACACACAAAATATTTCTAATTGATTCACTTATTAAGCAAAATAAGGAATGATTGCCACTGCAAGTAATGGAATGGGAACTATGCTAAATCAATCAATTAATTACCCACCAGTTATGAGTAATACTTATAGTTTAAAAATCTAACAGAATCTTTTCGTATCCCTTTTTGAGGGAAAACATGGAAACCTAACACTAAATTAAATTTACCAAATCCGATGGATCTTCTCTTATAAAAATCGAAAAAGCCTTCATATTTCTATACAACCCTCGTTAAGTCGTTAATTATTCCGTTGAATCGATTTTGCAGAAGGAGAAGATGAGTCTGCAGATAACTTCAAGCGAAACGCTGGAGCCAAGTCCAAGACAAAGGCATTATAGGGCTTTAATTTGGCAACTCATAACTTTATTGGGTGCTGCAATAATGGCAGCAGTAGAAATATGGTTCTTGATTGAAATTGCTGCTCACGAGTCTTATAGAACAACTTTGTACATCGTTCTTGTTACTCTTTTTGGAGCTGCAACCCTAGTGTATATTGCAGTCTGGCTGAAGAAGTTTGCTCGTTTCATATCTAAGGGCCATGAGGAGGCTTGAAGGATATGATCAATGATCATAATATGTCGGATTAATGATTTATCAATGATGTTGTCTGACCAATTTCGAAACAACTTTGTAGTTTTCTAATAAATTTATTGTGTTTTCTTTTGCTTTTTGTTTTCTATGTAACAATGTTGTTATTGGTTTATGCTCAAGTTCAACCAAGATGAATTTTTTGTGCTTTCGAAGAATTTCTCTTATGTTGTTTTCTCTTTTAAATGTCAGTTATGCTATTATATCCAAGTATTTTACTATTATTGGCCAATCCAATAACAGCTCTAAATTCTATATATCCGCTTGAGAAAGGATCGGATTCTCAAGTTTGAATAGTTTTAAATTCCCGTAAGAATAGCTCCCCCATTTCGTCAAAACCCAAAATAATGTATAGTATTATAGCAAACAAAACTAGATTTCCAGCCTTCCCCTTTTATTTCTCCTAGCTCAGTATTTGTCGACTAATTTCTTGACTTCCTCCAACTCACTCTCCCCAGTACCGTCTCTTTTCCCACTCATCCGAAACAAATGGCCCTCTCCAGCCATAAATATCCCATCAATATTCATGGAGTGATTCTGTTTCGTCAACTAGTCATGCTATTTAACTCATCATTTGCACGCTTTGCGCACACCGATATTTAACTACTTAAGAATTTTGCTAATCATCTTACAAGCACATTTGGTCAAAAGTGTGAGGGATTTATAGGTGGAGATCATAGAAAATGCAAGAATATTGACAGGGAAGAAATGGTGATCATGGAGTCTGATAACAGTCGAAAAGGTTTAGCACAAGTTCAACAGTTTATTTGCTATGCTGCAATGAGGAGGGACAGCATTCCATGTAACCGTAGAGGGCATTCCTATTACAATTGTGATTATCATGGACCAGCTAATCCATACACCAGGGGTTGTACTGATATTACAAGATGTCCAAGAAACACTGAATGATCATAATGCTGTGAAAATTAAGAGCAAGCTAGCTATCTTTTGATATGTTGTGAAGATCTATTTCTGAATTTGTTATTTATTATATTTTTCCTTTTTTTTGGCTAGATGAAATTTTGATTAAAGATATGAAAAAAATTGGTCAAGGTAAGAGGGATTTCTATAGCTTATTAATTAGCAATAATTTTAGAAACTTTCATTGAGATTTGTGACAATTTTATTTAATTACTCTCTTATTTCAAATATTGCGTTTACCTCCCTATTGCTACCAAATGAACTCATTCGCCCCTATCTAAAACTCAATTCACAAACCAAATGAGAGGACCTAATACAATTAAAGAAAAAGGAAATGGAAACGGGTCACCTTGTTTTTCCTTTGTTTTTTTTTTTGTGGTACGTTGTTATAGTGATCCTTGATGTACTTTAATTTAATAAGCCACTTTACATCCTTGTGTAATTTTTTTTGTCTGATTAACATAAAGGCTAATCTTCAGCCCAAAAAAGTCCATGTTAATACTTTATTTATTCATTACTTTTTTTTTTGGTTTGCTTGTTTTTTATTATTGTGGTGGTAGTAAACATGGCATAGTGGTGCAGCGTGGTGTTGGTGGTCGTATTGGTTCTATTTCCTTTCTTTCTTTTCTTTTTCACCAAAAAAAAAAAAGTAGTTTGGGAATTCCATTTGAAAGTTGTGCTATTTATGAGGTTTTGTTACCCAAACAATAAAAACTGGGGAAGGAAGTGTTACATTCAAAATAAGAGGACTGTTAGGCGAAATTGTCATAAATACCAGGAAAGTTATTGCAATGCTTTCTGTTTATGATTATTTTGGCCATTCCCTTATTAAATCTCCACATTTCTTCTTGATTTCTGCATTTTGGATTAATCAGAATTCTGAAACTTTTCAAGTCGAAGGTGGAGATAACGAACGAGTTTGTATCTCTACAAATTGCACAATATGTTTTCTCTCGTTTTACGTCAGTAAATATGTCTCTTTGTTGCAGATCCATGTTTAATAACACCAACCACATGATTGTAATTGTTTTTCTGGATATGAAGTGAATGCTCATATTTGGATAAGAACATATTGAATATGCTCAATCTCGTCATATAAAAGGAGTATATAGTGGATTCCATCCTTAATTATCCAAAAAGAATACAAAACTCTCTCAAGTTCTATAAAGCTTCTTTATACATAATCTGAAAGAGTGAAGTTGACTTCAAACCTGTTTAAGAAATGATTTGGGGCCTGTTTGGAAGCCTAGTTTTTGAGCAAATTTATATTATACTAGTTTTTTAACAACTTGTGCTACAGGAACCCAAAAACTTCTCCCAAAATTTAAATGTCCCTTTCTGAAACATTTTAACAAGACGACGTCGTCCAAGCTGGTTTTTTCCCTTTCAATTCACAAAAAGCACACAAAACTCTTCCCGGTTTTTCTTTCAAAGCACAGAAAGCTGTCCTAAATCGACCAAGCAATTCACCGGAGTAAGTATCATTGTGGAGCAATGAGAAGCTTGTTGAGCGATTCTCCATTTCCTAGGCGCTACAATAGTCAGAACTCCGGCAATTGCACTTCCATCCCCTCCACCACGCTCTGCCCTATACCACACGGCTGTTGTCGTTGGAAGAGGAAGACATAGAAAATGGAAGGAAGTGGAAGGAACACTAGCACCGGCGGATGAAACCTCTGCAGTGATCGGAACTGGAGAATTCGCTGGGCTTCCGGATGGAGATGATGCAGGCGGTGACACTGGCGGGTAGAGGAGGGTGGCAGGGGAGAGGGGAGGAAAGGGATGGTGGGCAGAGAGGGTGGCGGGGGAGGGACAGAGAGGGGTGGCGGGCCTAATGGGTAGGGGGCAGAGGGGGGTGGCGGGGGAGAGGGGAGGAAGGGGATGGTGGACAGAGGGGGTGGCGGGGGAGGGAGAGAGAGGGGTGGCGGGCAGAGGGGAGAGGAAAGTGATGGTGGAAAAGTTTGGGGGTGGCGAGGGAGGGAGAGGGATCTGGTGGTGCTAGTGGAGGTCCTGGAGGTGGGAGGCAGAGGTAACGGGGAAGGGGAGGGGGAAGGAAGAAGAAGAAGAAGAAAAAGGAGAGGAAAGAAAAGAAAAAGGAAAGAAAGAAAAAGAAAAAGAAAGAGAAAAAGAAAGAGAAAGAGAAAAAGAAAGAAAAAAAAAAGAAAAGGAAAAAAAGTTTTTCACCTTACAAAAATTTTTACAAAATCTTCTACAAAAAAATTTTCACCTTACAAAAACTTCAACAAAATTTTTTCAAAAACTTCTACAGTGCACTACAGTAAAGTTTTAGACAAACTCCCAAAAAACTCAGGTTTCAAACAGGCCCTGGTTTCACGAAGGATTTGGAAAGAAGGGAAGTGATATTTGTGCTCCCCAATAAGTCTCTAATAGTCTTTGAAAACTATAGTTTTAGTGAGTAAATTGGAGTGTAGAAAACTAAATAAGAAGTTTGAATGTCAGTTTTTGGAAAGACATAGCTGTCAAACTTTAAAACTAATTCAATTTGGCAATCAAAAGACATATTGCTTACATGCTTTGACTTTTTTTCTTAACAGAAATGAAAAAGAAGAAGCAGAAGATGTTATATTTTTTTTAAAACACAACTCGTATTTCTTACGTAAAGAAGAAAATAATTGATTGTAGCACATGAGGTGTGAAACTTCATCCATGCTCACTCATAGCCTAACATAACAGGGGGATACATTTTTTGTCTTATTGATATAAAAGATTTATTGTAACCGGAGTAATTCATACATGTGCATTGGTAATAGTAGACTTTGTTTTTAAATCTTGTACACATACCTTTTATTTATTCATTGCAATTTTATTTATTTATTTATTTTACTGAAAAGTTAGATTTGATTTTATTCCTGGTGAAGTCCAATATTTTCTAAATTTTTCAAGTATTTATAAATTTGAAGATATATTTTCATCCATTGCATCTGGATTCTCCACACAATTCCAAAATCAATTACCTTCATACAACCTCCAAAAAAAATCCACTCATTAATAGTCAATATCATCTTTTTCAACCAACTGATGAATTTCTTTTGTCCACACGTGAAACAAAATCTTCATCCCAATCCTCAATAAAAACAAATGTTCATTACTTCATTGCATACACGGCAAATTCACATTTTGACACGTTAAAGTAAATAGAGGAATTAATTACATTTTCACATATATAGATGAAAGAACACAATAACACTAATGTCATATAGGAATAGAAATAGCCTAAAAACAACTTAAAATGGACAATAATCGTAATAAATTACAAATAATCTACTTTTCTGCAATACAAGATGCAGATGATCTACGCGAAATCAGTAGCCAAAAGCAAATATGGCCAAGAAGAGGCTTATTCCCAACAAAGAACCAATTGAGCCACCAAAAGTAGTTAATGCGGCAGATGGAGACGGTGCAGGAGCAAAGGGCTGAACGATCACTGGCGAAGGGGGACTCGCGGCTGCAGGAGGAGGAGTGTTAGGCTTAACTGGTGAAGAAGTCAGGGCGAAAATTGGAGCTGGAGATGGAGAGGGAGAAGGAGAAGGAGAAGGAGAGGGAGGATTGGCCGCAACTGGTGATGGAGCATTGGTAGGATTACCTCTTGGATGCAACACGACAATGATAAGCCTCTGACCCTTCTGGCAATTATCTGCATAACCACTAATGAAAAAGAATGGACCGGACCTGTTAAACTTGAACACTGATTCCCCATCTTTGAGAGCTAAAAAGGGGTTTTCCTTGTTACAGTTGTAGTAATCATCTTTATCTACTTCCAGAACATCATCATAGCCTTTCTTGTATCTAAAAACTGCAAGAAAAAAGAAAACATTATTAAAGGGCTAAAATTTTTGATGAAAAACCAAAAGATTTTGCATGCAGAAATATGTAGATGGCCAATGATTAATCATGAACAAGCAAAAAGGGTTTTAATACTGAGGGTGTCATTAATCTGAAATCGATTTCTTCCTGCCCACTGATTGTAATCTTCTTTGGGTTTTAAGACCCAACCCTCCCTGCCACCAACATAGAAGGTGTAAGATTGAGATATGGAGAGAAAAAATCCTAGAAAAGTCACCAAGAAAATGGTGAAGGCTATTCGTTGACCAAATTCCATAAGTTTTAGAGGGATAGATTTATTGGAAATTTGAGAAATATCTAAGTTTCTTTTAGTAGTGATCTATGGAATATGATCAAGTTGGCAATGGAAACGAGTATTTTGCACTAGCCAAAAAAGAGAGAGAGAAAGATGGCTAAAGACTGAAGACTGGAGAGAAAAACTGAGAAATTTTAGGATGAATTTAGGGAGCAAGAAATGAGAAAAGTGGGGTATTTATTATCAACTTGAATGAGATTACCGTTGTATTATCAATTATGTGATGAAAATAAAATATGTGTGAGTCTTCAATGCAAAATTTGGCATTACTATGAGTAAGCAATTTTTGGCAAGTGATTACATTTGGCATAATCTGAGAGATTTAACGGTCATAGGTAATTCAAAGCAAAGCTCGATTTTGAACCAATTTTTGAATGTTTTTCCAAGAAAGATAGAGAAATAAATTAGAACCAAAGCTGGACTTTTAATTGTACTTCACCTTTTCAGAGTCCAAGTGGTGTGATGGCCCACTTTACATATTTTGAGGATTAATTTCAATTTCGTGGCCCATATTACTGTCTTAGAAGCACAAGCAAAAATGACAAAATGATTCAAATTAAAGTCCACAATATAATTTCTTGATCATTGCTGGAACCTCAAATAGTTTTACCTTAGCCAACATGAAACGTGTCTGAAGAATATGAGCAAATAATAGGAAAAGCAAGTTTCAAAAAAAAAAAAAAAAGGAATAGCCCTTAGGTTGTAAGAATAAAGGAATTAGAATTTCAAATATCATAGTATGATGTTATTGTCCAAACTAGAGTGACCACCCTTCACAGGTTCTTTTTGGGTTAGGTTTGCAACGCAACTATGATAGAATATGATTGTAATCAATTATCGGATTAGGCCATAAGTTTTGTTATAATAATTACAAAGATGAACACTCGAAAAGATATTAGTTTTTTTATTACCTTCCATTACTCCTGAACAATAGAAAGATAGTCCCAAACTATACATATATAGGCTGGAAGTTAGGGTTTACAGTAGAAAAGGTAATAAAAGGAAAAAGCAAAATATACATGAGTTGGACTTTTTACATAGACAAAAACACAAATAAATTTAGACTATGCCTTCCAATTGACCCTCACTAATAAACTAAGCTAATAAACTGACCTAGTTGGGCAATTGATATCGACAAAGTGGACAAACATTACTTACTCCAAGCCAATTCACTATGCAACTCCCATGATAAACATGCAAACATGGCATTCTTGTAGCTTCACAACCCTCCTCAAGTTTCTCCATACATATCATACAGTGGCTAGCTCCAATTTCACAATCTTTAACCTTGACTTTCTCTAAAGCTTCAACTGCTTCTTTGCTCGCAGGGTTTATTCTCAACTCAGCTTCCCTTGATTCTCTCATTGCCAAAAGATGTTCTTCTCGTGTATTATCCACAACCACTCCAATCGAGACAATCATCGGTAACACTTTTCGTGTTCTATTTTCGACTTTGCTAGCAATTTCATCTGCACATCCCGAGATTTTTTGTATGATAAAAGGTTGTTTATGTGTTGGAACTCCTAATCTTGATAGCATCCTATGGATGGTGTCCCAAGTCAAGTTGTTACATGATAATTTTTCACAACGTTCCCAAAATTGATGACAAAAATTTATGCTTTGCAGGTTACTAGATAGATAATCAGGCTTATCATCTTCCTCTTGTTCTTCTTCCTCCATTGCCATCACATATGTGAACTCAATTTTGAATTGAATGTAGAATTGATCGTAAGGTTTCAATTCAACTTGAGGGATGTCTAAGTAGCTACCTTCCCATGCATGACAAAAATCGTCAACTGGAGTCTCTTGATCACACTCCATAGTTGATTAGTTTTTGAGAAGAATAAGGAAAGAGAGAACTTAACGAAGAGAAATAAGGTTATTGCGTAGCTTCGGCGTTTGAGGGTTTGAGGGTTTTAGTTATATTTATGTATGTTTTAAACCAGTTTTCAAATTCTACAAGGACCAGGACTCTTACTTCCGGTAAAATAGGAACAAGATATTGTTTTTGAATCTTATCTTGAATTTTATTAGGATAGTAATTAGTTTAAGAGTCGATCAAATCTTGGATGAGTTTACAAATTGGGATATTTAACATATATGAACATATGATATCCCCTTACAGAGTTAGATTTCAAAGATGCTATGGTATCATTCCTCACCACATTAACCAGCATTCATTCAACCCAAGAGAAAAGTAGCAAAATATCTTTCTGCTTCTCAGCCACTTAAAAGTTAAAATCTTAGGAATTGTCTAGGATGATCTATGTAGTCTATTACTTTGAAAATTTCCATAAAATTTGCAAACATGTATGATTGGCAATTTTTTATTTATTTTTTGCATATCATTGGAAGTGGTTGTTTTGATTTTTAGGGGAGTAATAGAATTTTGGACCCAAAGATTAAAGTTCTTATGCTCCAAAGCATCTTCCAAGTCTTCCTACACTTCCCTCCAAGATGAAAATCAATACTCTCTGTACAGGGTTATAATCGAATCGAATTGAATTTTTTACCGTTTAATTTAGATTTAATATTTGGTCGGTTCAAAATCGATCGAGAGCTTGAAAATTTATTTAATTCTTCAATATTTAATATTAAATCATGGCTAATACATTATATATAATAAAATAATAAATATACAATTTCATATAAAATATTAAAAATTATTCTAATCGAATCAAGCCTTAATGAGTCGAATATCTACAAGTTCAAATTCTATTCAATACTATAAATGAATCCTAATTCTTACTTAATACTATAAATGAATTCTAATTCTTACTCGAATTAGAACTTGAATACATTAAAAATCAAATTTGAATCAAATCCTTAGCAAATCGGTTTGTTAAAAGCACGGTTTGTTTATAGCGAATCGAATTATAAGGGACACAAAATCTATGTAGTCCAATCAGAAAATCAATTTCTTCAGAAACCTTTTCATTTTTTTTTCCTCAGGAAATTGAGGGAGCCCAAAACAGCTATGTTTTCAGACTCGGCCCGGGAATCGACTCGGCCGAGCTCAGGGGTCAGGGGTCAATGGGTTCGACCGGGGTCAATAGGGGTCGAACCGGATGACGTCATATATACATCATATATAGATTATATATATATATATATATATATTCCTGCAAATCAAATTTACAAAATATAACCAAAGAACCCAATCATCTAAATTTATATCCAATTCACCAAATTCATCCAAACTCACAAAATTTATAAAATAGAGATCCCATACATGTTTAATCCCTGACAAATAGCAATCCAAATAAGGTAACAAGCTCATGTTCAAATGCTTGATAAATATCAATCTAAATAAAATAAATAAAATAACACGTTCAATTTCTAAACCAAAGAACTATCTAAGCCATTCTTCATCTTCATCTTCATCTTCATCTTCATCTTCATCTTCATCACCCTTTTCTCCAATTTCATAACTTTCGATATCGATGTCATCAAGATCATCCTCATCATCAAGCTGCACATTAAAAACTACAGAAGACTGAAGAGACATTGAGGTAGGAAATTACACTAAAACTGCTGCTTTATTGGACCACAGGACATTAAAAACTGCATTAAATGGTTGTAGCATATTATTCTACCATTTATGTCCATGGTACTAGTACGGCTGATAATTGTATCCATCGGCCTTTGAGGTAGGAAACACATAAGTTGGTCAACAAAACTACAGAAGAGACTCATTCATGTAACAGACATTATTAACTTTTGATCCAGTGTATTCTCAAAACGAAAAGATAACTATTCGCTTGGACTGTGTGATCATTATCAACTTAAAAATTCTTGATCCAGTGTATCCAACCAGTTTGCACTGGTACTGATGCTATAACAGAGAAACGTGAAGGGACATATAAGCATGGTTGTGCGAATTATAACCAGTAAATGGTTAACCCAGATGGAACAGACAAAGAAAAGTAACCAATCATCAATGGAAGAAACTTGAAAACAAGAAGAGACAATCAAATTCAAATTTCCAGATTCTCTAATAAGGACGTGATATTCTCACCCATAATATCCAAATCCCAAATGCCCAGCATAATAAATAAAAAAAATACTGAAAATTTAGTCACAGGTCAACTTCAACATAATGAATTAGCCATCTTCACGACTGCTTTAGATTATAAAAATTACCAGATTTAGCTTCGGTTCACCAGCGTGTTAATTACTTGATTGAACCTTGAAATCTGAAGAAACTGGTGGTGTTGCGGCAGTGGAGGCTAGAGATTGAAGGACAAGTGACTAACGGCAACCTTGATTAAGCGACGATCGGTGAATCTCAAATGCCAGCGGTGGAGGCTTTTAGATTTTAGGGTTATTGGAGCTGAAGAAGAAAGGAAGAAAAGTACGGAAAGAGAAGCAGAGGAGCTGACCCCAACTTTTGATAATTTCGTCTCTTTTTTAGTTGGTCAGTCCAACTTTTGACTGAAAAAAAAAAGGCAGAAAGGGCAAAAAAAAAAAACCGGGTTTGATCAAATTATCCGGTTCACCGGTCAAACCCGGTCTATGACCGGATTTGACCGAGTTTTTAATACCCGAGTTTTTTAACTAGCTCGGACCGGATGCCTGGCCGGTTCCCGGTTCGACCGGCCGGTCCGGTCCGAGTCTGAAAACACAGCAAAACAGAAGACTCTAAAATCTCTCAGTTTTAAGAAAAAATAAAAAGAAAAGAAATTAAAATTCCAAACTCCAAAATAGGCGCCAGGCGGTTTGTCAGTTACCGGAAACAAGTTATATATTTTGAAAACACCCCAGAAACATTTGAAAGTTTTCACAAAAACAGAAACAAAAAAAAAAAAAAAAAACTCCAGAATTTTAACCAAAATTGTTGCAGAAACATTCAAGATTTTGATCTCAATCTCCAATTTTCCATGTCTTTGAGCACTTTCAAGGAGACCCTTAAGCCCTGCAACACCAACCCATCTGCATCATCCTCTTCTTCTTCATCTTTTTCTTCAATTTCCCACAATTTTGACTTCCATAAATCCTAGGAACCCCCCCCCCCCCCAAATGTTCACTTTCTCACCAGCTTTTGCGCCTTTAACACCAAGAGTCCACCTGAGACCCTTTTGGGACCTGAAGCTGAAGATAATGATGATGAAGAAGAAGTGGAGGAGGGAGAAAAGCAAGATAGGATTTTTAGGCCAAAGATGGAGTCTTTTCATACTGGCATTTTCCTTTTCAATTTCTATGATTTCAATTTTTCTATAAATTGGATAGAAAGCGATGAGGGTCAAAACCTGGTATGTAGCCTAGGGGAAAGGTTTCTCTCGTTCTTCGAGTAGAATAATGGTTTATGGCTGCGTTCGGATATCAAATTTTTTCAAAAATTTTTTTTGCATGCATGATAAACATATTTTTTTTAATTTACTTTTTTATCTCACATATATTATATCATAAAAAGTGTTAAAATAATTATTTCAAATAATTATTTAAAATAATACTTCAAAACAAAGCCTTCTTCCTTTTTTTTTTTTTTTTTTTTGAAGATAATCAACGAAGACTTCTAAATGTGCATTAGAAGAAGTAGATGTACCCTACAGATTTACCCTATTGACTCGAGGAAATTGCAAAAGTACCATTCCTTCATTTTCCCTTTTTTTGGGGAAAGATGTGGATAAATCCCAAATGTGATGTTTTGTACTGGAGCCTATTGCAATATTATGTTTCAACTCTTATTAATTGGAATTTATTAATGACATTAATGATGGATTTATTATTTCCGGATAAGGAGCAGAAGTGGACCTTTACACGACTAGTTTAGGATGACAACAAATTTGTTTGCCAGGTGAGAGAAAAGTCTTATTGTTAGACAAGTATAGGGGTGTTTCGCGAATCGAGCCGCTCGCGATCGGGGTGTTTCGCGAATCGAGCCGCTCGCGATCGGATCGCGAGCGGCTCGAATACGAGCTCGACTCGAGCTCGTCAATATCGAGTTCGAGTCGAGCTCGAGCCAATTAAGTCGATCTCGAGCTCGAGCTCGAGTTCAAAAACATTAAACTCGTTGGCTCGCGAGCGGCTCGCGAGCTCAATTATATATTTATTTTTTATTTTTTATTTAATAGTAAAATTACATATATATCCCTAATATTTTATTATTTGTTAAAAAAATTATTATTTTATTCATTTTTAAAAATAAATATTTATTTTTTAAAAAAAATAAAATAATAATAATTATTTTTTATTTTTTAAGCTCGACTCGAATTTGACTCGAGCTCGAGCTTCACAAAATTAACTCGAGCTCGGCTCGTTTAGCCAAAGCTCGGCTCGAGCTCGGCTCGTTTGCACCCCTAGACAAGTAGTTCGTGGAAAATGGGTATTGATACCAAATAAAAAAAAAAGAAATTACAAACATAATTCTACTAACCATCAATTTTTGCCAAATGATATCACCACAGCTCATGTGACAGGATGATCTTGTAGAAATAGTTGAAGACTATGTGAAGGAAAATCCTATGGCTGACGTATCTAAAGCAGGCAGGTCTTCTTCCTTTTAGCTTGTCAATAAAGATTATAGTCTGCTTTGAGCTTGGTAGTGAGTTTAATGTTTCTTTCAAATGTAATAGTTCTGAAAAATTTTAATTTGTTTCTCTCATGATTCTAATTGTTGAAAACATGTTCAAAGGATGTTTCGTCTAGATTTTTCTTTTTTAATTAAAGTTTTTAAAAGTTCTAGACATGAGAGTGCCAAAGCTTGGATAAAATCTGTGAAGATCTCAAGTTTTTTGTAGACATGTTTGTTGATCAGGAAGAACAACTTTTGTAAACCATGGCTGATCTATTTCATCATACAAATTATAGACACGAGATATTTAGAGACTCCATGTATGAATAAGCAAGCTTCTTGGATGACAGCGAATAATCATCTTTTCATGGAGAAAAGAAAAGCTTAGTTGGATTAGTTGGATGCCAGTTATTCATATCAAAAGACTAATTTTGTGTTGAAAAACTAATTTCCTTTGTCTAGTCAAATTGCAGGGTGATCTGGTCAATGTTTCAATATTTTGTTTGGTCAGACATTGTTTAGAAAAAGTTGTGAGATTTTGGCCATAGCAAACCATATAAAATGTCATGGAGGGAGTGATGGATAATTTCTTCATCATCATACCAGTTTAACGGAATGAGGTCCCAGGTCCAAATTACTTTTAGGAGCTTTGGTGCAGATGCTGATTAGCAGCATTTTCAATGCCAATTCTGCTATAGAACCGTGTAGATTTGCCTTTCCTTCTTTTGAATGTTGTCGCTATTTTAACCTTCATAATTAGTTTTCTTCCCAAAGCGCTTCCCATTCATGAAAAGTTTTTGCCTTCTTTTAAGTTAGTTAACTTTTGGTAAACAAAAATTGTATTGCAACTGGCATTATAACGTCGACAAATTTTTGTTAATCCTTGAATATTTTCATGTGAAACAAAAGCTGATTTTCCCAGTTCATCAAAGGCTGAAACTACCAGAACTGGAAATTAAGATGATGAATATGCTCGTATATTCTCCAGAATTGTTGAACTTGAAAAAGAAGAAGAAGAAACTGAGAAGGATGATGAAAATAAAGAGGATGAGGATGATCTAGATCACACTACAGATAAGCGATTACACTTTAATTCGTTTATATTAGGATTGAACATATAATGGCAGAGGAAACTACACCAAGTTTCATTTACTTGCCAGTTGCCAGGAAAGTACATGATTAAGTAGTGTACGCAATTAAAATTTCAAGTCTATAAAACGGCAAGAAAAAAGAAATATATGACAAATATGTAATATATAAATTTAGAAAAATATATGGGTACAATCTCTAGGATTTTCTCGAACTTATAGAGAACTTCCTTCTATTCTTCTCCTCGAACGCCAATCCAAGGGTTTCGCAGCTTGTTCTTGGATCAACCACCGACTCCTTCAAATCTTGATATGGAAGATTTGAAGAACTTGAAAATATTTGAGGGCTTAAGCCTTGATATATGGAAGACTTGAAGAACTTGAAGACCCAGACCTTCGTAGCTTGGAGCTTCAATACTTGTGCGTCTGAGATGCCTCTTGGTATGTCCCCTAACCTGGTAAAGAGACTCTTATTTATAGTTGTAGTATGAGGTAGAGGTTGAAAACATGTACACCACTCTACTTGTCTTGCAAGACGTGCAGTCATATTAGGACTGTGCTAATTAAATATTATCTCTTCATTTTATATTTATTAATAAAGAGATAAATAATTCCTCGATTGGCCAAACTCGTGGGGACACGTGACGTGGTGCCGTTTGCCTAGACAAGCTATTGCAGTATATAAGAAATATATATGGATTAAACAACTCTAAATATTATCTCTTTAATAAGAAATAAGTATTTAGGTATCTATCCAAAATTCTGTCAAGTCATATAGACATGTGACATGATATGATTTAGTTGGTGGAGATATCCTTGCAATTTGAATTGATTTGGAACACTTCAACTTGACACGTGGCGAAATATAATTGACCATTTAATAATCAATTTTTCCTAGTATACATGACATATGACAATATCCAATTGGATAAAAATAAGCTATAAAAATAATTTATAGATCAATGGTAATTTTTAGAATTTAATTAAAATTCCATTGTCTACAAATGCCCCCTCAAAACTTGTTCGTGATTGCTGAAGACCGAAGCAAGATTTGAACTAACAAGCTTCAACTTTTTTTTTCCTTCAATTGGATTTGAATGCCATTGGAATTCTAAAGAAAATGGACTAAAACTTGAAGTTTTACAAATCACCTGACCGTGGCTTTCGAATGGATATAGAATGGCCATGCAAAGGACTTCCCAATTCATCACTGCTATACATTAAATGTATGCATAGTTTGGTGAGGCCAATGGTTTAAATTTCCAAGACCAAAACCTTTCCATGCAATATCTATACCATGGCTATATTACAAGTCCAATGAAGTAGCGATGATTCTCTCGTGGCTATATTCCAAGGCCAATGACTTCAATTTCCAATATGACTCTCTCGTGGCCCACAAGTCTTTTCCTACATCAGCTATGATTGCTCAATTCCAAGCCAAATTGGAATTCTTCGCCATAGCAAACTACTTAGCCGGCTATTACTAAGTAGTTCGCGAGACCTTTAACAAATCGATTTCGGATCAATAAAGTCATTCCAATAAGGAATCAACTTTCTTCCAAATTCGTATGGAAGAGGACTTTCTTTTTGGCTCGGATCCACATCAAACTTTCCCCCATAAATAGATGTGTCTAGGTCACAAACTCTTGAACGAGTTTATTTCTTTCTTCAGCTGCATCATCAAGTGGCCGTTGCCGCAAGGGACAATCATCATCCGCTAGTTGTAGTCCAATAAATACTTTCTTTTCGCTTGCTAGGTACTTCAAGCCCTTTTTTTGTTT